ACATAATAAACACAAAAGTAAATATATCATGTGAAAGCGTTACGGATGGGGATATCACACTATACTATCATGCAATCATCAAACAACACACAAGAAGTTAAGAGAGCGCAAAAACGATTCACAATCATTTTATCGTTGGTGCAGCGAATGGTTGAAGCGGTTGAAATTGAAATTTCATATTATAATTTCACTCTGAAAGATTAAATGGTCCTTTTCTTTATTCATATCTAAACGCCTCTTCTTGTTCTTTGGCAAATATTATAATACATTATTCCACATTTTTTTACGTTTATCTCTCCTTTATGCTTTTTGTTTGCAGCCAGAAGTTTAATGCGTACACTCATTCATTGAAAGATAAATATTTTTTTTGTTTTTGCAAATTTATCATTGGTTTACTGGGACAATGATATTTTGTGCACCATCCTGAAATGTAATTGGCATAGATAAAACATTTCATTTGTTAAATATATTAGTTAGTGTAATGTTTTTTGATGTCAACGACGCATTCAATATTTTATTTTCAAATTTTGAGTCGAAATAGTGGGGAAAGATATTTGAAATTTGTCGAAAATAGTCGCTAAACTCCAAATAAGAATTTATCAAAAAAAAAATCAGAAATTGTCCTAAATCTTATAATATTAAAAACTTTGATTAGGAACATTAAGTATGAAACAGAAGATGTACAATGGTAACTTGAATTTGATAAAAAATGAAGTCGACATTTTTACAATGATATCCTGCAAACTGTCTTTACTCATAACTGTAAGTTTAGATAGTTTGAATAAATAAAATATACCAGTCACATTCAGTAATTGACATAAAATTTCAGTTTAGTGTACTGTTGCATCTTTTTTTTGTATGATTTTCATTTCGTCCTATACTTTGAAAAGTAACATTTTAGAATTTTTTTCACATACATCGCATTGGTAGCTTTTGGTTAAAATGACAGCTTTCCTCTACGTACTTTTCATCGAAAGTCGATAATTAAAATACTTTAAAGGGCATATCTTGATTTGACATCTATGGAACTGTGTCACTATATTCAGGGGAACCACTTTATAGATACACATCTTTTTTTTTGGATTGTGTAATATCACAGAAGTGATTTGTTTCCTATTCTTAATAGACATCAATTTGTCTGTCAATGTAGCAAGAACATTTTCATTGAATACTGCCGGTAAATCGCTGTTCTTAAAAATACTGTTGATTACCGCTGTATAATCTGAAAACGCTCGGTATGAAAATGACGGTAACCAAACGGTATTCTTCACATTTCGGTGCAAGGAATACTGTTCAGTATATCGTTTCAAAGTTCATCACTTTCTTATTTTGACAGCGTATATAACAATGACAAAAAATTAAGAGATCTCTAACTTTTCTTTCAAGTATATGAATTTTGACTTGAGTACTGTCTCACTGTCCATCGTAGAATAGCCTACGATGACTCGATCAGTAAAAGAATAGAATGAAAACCTTGAATTAACGCAATATTCGTTTTTACTAACAGTATTTTGAAATCTAGGACAGTTTACCGTCGATATAACAAATGATACTTTTAATTAATCTCTTTTTTTGTTTTACATGTAAGTACGGGGATAATTTTGTAGGTATTTCGGTTTGTTCACTCAATCGTTACATGATAGGTGCCTACAGAAATCGATATTTAAATAAGGACAAGAGTAATAAAAGTTTGGATAAAAAAAATAGACTGACTATATCATCATTTTTCTTCATTCGCTTTACATCCACCTCCATTAAACATTAACTTTTCAAATAAATTACATTGTTTAAGTACGTGATGTCTTTCTACTTCCGTAGCAACGTCTTTTCTTTTTTTTTTTGTCATATCAACAATATAATTCTTCAATTTTTAGAATTAATTATTTGAAAATGTAAAAAAAATGTCAGACACCCATTTCAATTATGAACATATAGATTCTAAAAGGAAAAGCTTAGCTTATTTTTTTACGCTCATATGAACTTTGTTCATGTAGAAACGATTATCATTTTTAATTAGCACATAGCGAAAAAAAATTTTTTCTTTTCTCGTTCTATATTTAATGTGATCTATTCACCTTCATTAAACAGAAAAAAAAAAAAAAGAAAAAAGAAGAACATCTTCAGCAAGCACATCATTATATTTTATTTTTAAACATCATTATTCGACTTAGAATAAAAATTCACTATATATTATTTTTAGAGAAAAAAAAAGAAGAAAATAATAAAATAAGAAGAATAATCAACCTCTCATATAATAGTCTCTAATAGAATAGTTCTTCTCGTTATATTTTTCTTATACAACAACATAAATTTGCATTTTTATTTCTTCATATTTTTTACGATTAATAAAAAAAAGGAAATATATATATGTTTTTCTGTCTAGATTTTAAATAACTAGCTGAGGAAAACTTTGTAATGCATGTGCTTTTTCCTTTCTTTTAATTTATGAAGTTAAAAAATACCTACATTTAATCATACGATATTAGAATGTCTTTTCTCTTTTTTTTTTTTTCTTCTTATCTTCAATTTTCGTTGAACAGTGTAAATACATCTATTTTCTTTTTGTGTTAAATTTTTTTTCAATCTACAATAATATAGTAAGAGATAATAATAGAAAGTTTGAGTTTTACATTTTCAAGATGTTTTCTTCTCATAAAAAAGATTATTTTCAAAAATCGAAACAAATTATTAAAAACTTGACCTATATCATATTTCTGAAATATTAACAGTAAAATTTTGATTGAATTTTATACGAAAATTGAATTTGACGATTGAAACATTGTGTTATTATTGTTATTCTTTTTTATTTTAAATTTTTAGATCTTTTTAAATTAAGATCTTTGTGTTGGATCTTTACCAACTAAATCATAACGAAATATAATTAAAAACATCTTTTGTGTAAAATAATAGCCATTAATAACAATGATCACTTTAATAACTCAATTGACAGATTATTTTGAAACATTAAAACAATCAAAAACAACGGATCCAAGTGGTATTAATTTTTCGTTTGTACTTGATTTTGAAAAGCATTATGATCGATCAGATACATTAAATTATCCAATTTTAAGAGATTTAAAAACATTTATGATAGAACAATGGCATAATTCATTTTTTTATGCTATAGTCTATTTATTATTAATTTATACTGGTCAAATTTATATGAAAACACGACCACGTTTTGAATTACGTTCTGCTTTGACCTTCTGGAACATTTTATTAGCATTATTTTCCATTTTTGGAGCAATACGTGTTATACCAGAAATAATTTATGTGTTGTACAAACATGGTTTTACCTATTCAATATGCAATAATTCAAATGCTTTTGGTGTTACGGGATTTTGGTATGTAGAAAATATGACGAAATATTTTCTTTATCATGAGATATCTTCTTCTATTTAGGACGTGGGCATTCTGTTTTGCAAAATTACCTGAGCTAATAGATACCGTGTTCATTGTACTTAGAAAACAACCACTCATATTTTTACATGTAAATAGACTTTAGATTCTAGTCTTTTCTATTTGTTACTTTGTCAACATTTTTATTTTTTATTTTTATGTTTTTTTTTCAGTATTATCATCATGCAACAGTTCTTATATATTGTTGGTATTCATATCATGATTTAACTGCAAGTGGAAGATGGTTTTGTTCAATGAATAGTCTTGTACATGCTATAATGTATACATATTATGCATTGAGAGCATTAAGATTTAAAATTCCACGTTATGTATCCATGGTGATTACATTATTACAGTTATTACAAATGATTATTGGATGTTATATTAATTTAAAAATTTGGGATATTAAAAAAAATGGTGAAACATGTCAAGTTAGCGATGATAATTTAAAATATTCCATGATTATGTATGCCACCTATTTTTTGTTATTTGCACACTTTTTTGCTAGTGCCTATATTAAACCATCATCATTAACAATAAGAGGAACACATTTAGAAAACGATAAAATCAAATCAGAATAAGACAAATGACATTAAGATATTTTGGATGTGACATTTTGTGACAGTTGGTTTTATATTACTTGATCGTCATATCTGCGATATCTTTTCATGTTTAAGTTTGTTTTGATTTAACATCAATAGAATTAGATAAAAAGAGTAATTTTTGAACATAATATAGTAAAAGGGAGCATAATAGAGAGATCAAAATATTCTGCAATAAACCCCGTCTAAGCTCGGATGTTAGCGAATTTCAATATTCTTAAATCTTATTTTATATTTATACCAGCGTTCTTTTCTTATCCTTTGCTAAGATGAGGTTCTGTGTTTTTTGAGACATTTTTTTTATTCTAAATTTTTTATATAATTTTTTTACTGTGTACTTATTTCTTCCTTTCAATCTAAAACACATTGTCTCAAATTATAAGTTCCTTTCATATTTATTTATTCAAATCAAAGAAAATATTCAAATATTTTTCTTTTACCATCGTGAGTAGGAATCTTTCTGTTTGTAAGACACCTATAAAAATCATTTTTTCTAATAAAAATTAGGCCGGCCATTTTATTCATTTTCCATTAGCTGTTTACAGAACCTATTTTCTTTTTCTTTTTCTTTCAATGTTAGACAAATGAGACACTTAATTTTCGTAAATCTCGTTCATCGTATTTCACGAATCAATCCTATACGAGCGTTCTTTTCTTATCTTTACTAAAAAAAATAAAAGAAAAACATTAACGTTCTTTTCTGATACATTGCTAGTCAATGATTGCATTAAAGTGTGCCCAATTTAATTTGTTCAATAAAGATTTATGTGAATATCTATTTCTTTTATAATCATTTCATAAACTAATTTTAGTCAAGCTACTTGTTTTTCTCTTGGCAATACATTTTTTCTGTTATGTATAAAAATTTTCCATACTTTGCCGTGTTTCTCTTTCTATCAACAATCAAAAACAGATTTTCTCCGGTGACTCATATTTTTAGTATGATTAAAGATACCTATACATGGCCTATAGAAAATTTTTCTCTCCAAACAATGTCAATACACATAATCTACTGATGTAAAGCATTTTTGAGCATAAAGTCCTATTAAAAAGTCTGATGTCGATCAATATTTTTAAAATTGTTTTTATTTTTCTTGTATGTTTTGTTTTGTTTTGTGTTTGTCACTCGTTGCTTTTGAAAAAAGTAAACAGTTTTCTTTTAATGTGTACTGTTATTATATTGTTATCATTAGATTGTCCTCTCTGTTTAAAAACCTTAAAAGATTTATTCCTCAAATAGAAATATGGACAGATCAAGAGTGTCTAGAAATGTTTTCATAATCTAAATTGGTTTTCTTAGCTTGCTATAAATCAACTTTACGTTAATCAATGTGATTGATTGATGTTACTTTAACATTTCATTACGTTATATCGAACAACCAATAGTTTACTAGCTTCTACTATCGTAAGAACGAAAGTATCGGACAAAATCAAATTTGAATATTCTGACAATAACTTCTGACACACACATAGGTTGATACTATTGTCAGATTTACTTTAAAATGTCCTCCACTGTTTCTTGAATAACTTTTGATAGGAAAAAGACAGAGATCTACGGTTTTCACCATTCAAAATAGCAATCTGGAGTACATAGAAATTTAATTGGTCAGTTAGTGGGC